GTCCGGAAGTAGGACTGGTAGCTGGGACACACGAAGGGCACCTGCTGCTGGCACCACTCCCGGATGCGGCTCTCCAGCTCTGCGTTCTCCCGCTCCAGCTGGCGCACCTTCTCCAGATAGCTGGCCAGGCGGTCGTTCAGGAACTGCATGGTCTCCTTCTCGCTGCCATTGAAGGAGCCCTCGCAGAACCAGCCACAGTTGCCCACATTGGCGGGGATGTTGCAGGCCCCGGGCAGGGTGCAGGTGTGACAGCTGGGGGGCACGCAGGGCCGGGAGGAGCAGGTGGAGCGGCAGCTCATGTTGGGCAGGGAGCAGTTGTAAAGCATGGTGCTGGAGGGAGCAAGGCACCCGGCTGAACACAGAGTCTAAGTTCTCTAAGCCACAGAGCTGTGGGTCTCCTTCCCCTGGGGAGCATTTATACCCCCTCCACAGAGGGTGTGGACATGGAAGGCAGCCCTTTTTTTCTTACTCATTTGGTGATTGTCAAAAGCCCTTCCCCCTTGATTTGTTATGTTTCCCCAGAAGAGTCCCTCACCTCATAAAAGACTTTACTCGGGCTTCTCGCTAAGTCAGGACTCCTCTTCCATGCTGTGCATCAATGAAGTAAGAGCTTCATGGAGTAGCTTCAAAGAGCTGGACTCATGAACGCCCTGGCCTTCATTAGTGGGGCGTGGCAGGTCCAGGGACACTGTTGCTGCTTTGCCTCCTGGCTTGATGGCCCTGACTCCTTGGCAATCCCTGGCTCTTCTTGCTAAGATGGGAAAGCACAGCTCTTGCCTATGTATCTTTTGCTAGGTCAAATTGCCAAATGCCAAATTCATGGTTCTCAGAAAGAGGAATAAATCCCTTCCAGAATAGTTAAAACAGCTTGGTTCCCAGTGGCCCTGTTTTTTGTTGTGGCTGACATCATATCATGATAATGTAAATCAACCAAATAAGAGATATGCACCAGGATAACAGTATGTACAGGGCATTGTATGAAATGGAAGGTAGGACTAGGGCTGTGGTCAGAAGGAGCTCACCCTTGTTGAGCCCCTGCACAGGCTCCTCCTTGTACTTGACACTGCTTACTTTCTCACTCACACCTCACCATGACCCTTCAAGGTACTATTTTACCGATGGGTAAATGGAGGTATAGAAAGTAGGGAGTGATATATTGTGAAGCCAGGATTCCAAAATATATCTCTTCTTTCCATCACCCCATGCTGCTTAAATACAAATGAACCATCTCCTTCCCTAACTTCTTCAGACAGATCATACCTTCCTCCTCTGTGAGCTCTCATCTCACCTTGAGCATGGCAATGCCCAGCTTCTGTGCTCATCTATCTCTGTATCTGAGTTCCCTGAAGGCAGGAACAGGGTCTAATTCTCTGAATCCTCAGCTCTAAGTGCATGGTGCTCAGTAGACACACAATGGTGTGTGTGGAGTGGATGAAGGAAGGAACATGGGATAATAATCTAAGGCAGGAGATGGTAAGTGATAAGTGTAAGGTTGAGGTAATGGGACAAGAGGACACTGCCAGGACGGGAAGTTCACAGGTATAGATATGTGCTGGGGCGCAAGGCTTCTGAGACACAGAAGAGGAACATGGGCCCTGCAGGTGAAAGAATGGTGTGCACACACAGCGAGCAGGAGAGTCCAAGTTCTGGTCAGTGAGGATGGTGGTTAGGAGAGGAGAGGGATTAAGGGAGGTGGTAGAAAAGAAAGCGGTATGGGGAGTCAAGGTCATATGGCAAAAGTTCTCTATGGCAAACCTAAGGAGCTTAGACTTTCCTGGAGGGAGATTTAGGAAATGTTTAGCAAACATTTATCTGTTTTAGCAAAATGAAGGTAAGGCTAGAGACAGAGGGACCAGCAAGGAGGTGATCACAGTAGTCCAGGCCAGCAGTGAGGAGGGACCAAGTTTAGTTGTCTGCAGAGGAAGTATAAGAGAAGAAATGGTGTAAGAACCATTTTCAAAGAAGCAATTTTTTTGTTTTTGCTTTCCTACTGAACATTTATTTTTTATTTTTTTATTAAGTTCAATTAGCCAACTTATAGGACATCAATATTTTTTGATGTAGTGTTCAGTGATTCATTAGTTGCATATAACACCCAGTGCTCATCACATCACGTCGAAGAAGCAATTTTTTAAAAAACCAGCAATCATTTAGAAAGGGGAGATGTGGGAGAGAATCAAGAACAAAACCAGAATTTGGCAAGCAAAATATTTAGGAGAAAAACTTTACCATTCACAGAAACACAGACTATTTTGCTCACCAAGGATGAACTAGACCATTTCCTTTAACAGACATTTAACTGAGCCCTTCCCATGTGCCAGGAAAAGAGCCATGCACTAGAGATGCAGTGGTGAGTAAGAGAGGCAAACCTACAACCTAGTGAAGAATGCACACCAACCAGGTGCAGTATACATCTGTGATGGAGAAAGCCCCAGCTGCTATAGGAACATGCACCAGGGGACCTAACCAGACTGAGTGAGGGTCTAGCAAGGCTTTCTGGAGGAAGTACACATTACATTCAGGCATGCTTCCCATTTTTCACACAAAAGCTTATATAGGAAATGATAATACTTTATGGCTTATTGGGGCGAAGTGACTGGGCTGCCTTGGCCAACCACTCCAAGGACTCAGAGCATCAGTACCGTGGACCCCTCTAAACCATTCACCTCAGTAAGGTTGGAAAGTTCAGCAATAGAGGAACCAAGAGAAGTTCAGTAAGCATTGTGTAAGCCAGGGAGTGACAGATGAGGTGGAGGAAAAGCAAATTTTCCATCATCTCATGCTGCCTAGATATAAATGACCTAGCTCTTTCCCTAACTTTCTGACAGATCATTTCTTCCTCCTCTGTGAGCTCTCATCTCACCTTGAACATGGCATTGTCATGACTTACATGCTTCTCTCTCTCTCTCTTTCTACTTGAGTTCCCTGAAGGCATGGAAGGACTTTTACATGAAGGACTTTGTACACCTCCTTGAGGAGCTTAGGCTTTATATGAAGGTCAATGGGGAGCCATTGAAGGTTCTAAGGAGACAGGAGTGATCTAGTTTCATTCTTGATCAGCTACATTTGAAGGAATCTATACAGGAAAGTGTTCATCAGGTCCTTGGAGTAGCAAGCCTAGAAGTCTTGACAGCAATAATAAGGAAAGGTATGAACCTAATGCAGATGTGAGAATTGGAGAAATGAGTCAAGGGAGAATGTACATGGAGAAGAGCAACAAGGCCTAAGGACCAAACTTTGGGGAATTCCCCCAACCAGAGAGTAGAGAAGGAAAAAGATTCAGAGAAATGGAGAAATGGGGAGAGAAAATAAAGAGAGCCAGCTCATGGCATCAGAGAAGGCCAGGGAGGAAAGCTTCAAAGGGGAGGTAAAGGTCAAAAGTGTCAAGTGTGGCAAAGGGACCCTGTAAGATCAGAACCATGGAGAGGTTCTTAGATACATTGACCAACAAGTTGCCAGGACATTTCCAGGGTCACATAGATGTGTTTACTATATACAGTACCTGTACTCTTCAAGTAACTCCCACACTGAACTTTAAGCCATCAAGACTTTGAACACCCAGAATTGAGATTCCATTGTTTAAAGAAGTCCTGCCATAATCAGTTTGTACACCTGATTATAAAGCCTGTGAGCTTTGGTCTTACCAATAGACTTTCTACAATAATTAGAGTGTGCTTTAAGTAGTTTAAAGATGTCAAGCTTGTTTTGATTTGATGATTCATAATAGTTCGTGATTTAGGAACATCTACCCAAGACGCATAAGCAATCAGAAATACCCAAGAAGCATTAGCAAATCAGGAATCAACTTCTGCTTTGTTGCAAGGCATAAGATAAGATTTATATGATGTCCTAAAGAGAAACTATGAGGAAAGAATTCGGTTGTGTGCCTAGATGCATTGTCTGGGGAGGGAGGGGCTCCTTACCGTTATTCTAGCAGAGAACAGAGCAGAACTCAGAGAAGTTCACAGCAAGAGTCCAAGACTCAGCTGTAGCTGCAGATCCAAAACCAGACTGCCATGCATTCAACTCTTCCTTTCCCCCCTTCCACTTCCTAATGTAGATCCCAAATGCCAAAATTATCAGAGAAAGGGAAAATCTTGGAACAAGAGTGATATCAGGAATCTTTTTTTTTAATGTTTTATTTATTTATTCATGAGAGTCACAGAGAAAGAGAGAGAGGCAGAGGGAGAAGCAGGCTCCCCGCCTCGCAGGGAGCCCGATGCGGGGCTCGATCCCAGGACCCTGGGTTCATGACCTGAGCCGAAGGCAGACGCTTAACCATCTGAGCCACCCAGGCACCCCTGATATCAGGAATCTTAATGATCATCTTATCCAAGCCTCTCATTCTATAAATGAGGAAACTGAGGCTCAGAATGAAGAAATGGCTTACTTAGGATCATATAATTAGAAGCCATATCTGCTTATACCCACTGCATTCCCAGTTCCCATCACCATAGTGCAGAAATACTGAACAATTTCACAACCAATATCATCTGTCAACTACCTAGGGGCAAAAATCAGAGACAATAAGAAAAAGGAAAAAAAGATAGAAAAAAACTCACTTGTTACCCATAAAACCCACTTGTTACCCACAGATATGTCATGTTGAAGAAGAATAAAGGGTGAATATGGAAATGTTAGAATTCAGTGATACTAAGGTTCCTTATTGCCATCCTGATTTCAATCATTATTTTTTTTCAATCACTATTTCTAAACTGATGATATAATTATGTTCCAATAGTTTGGAACAGCTTAAATACAATTATATCCCATCAGTTGGAGTCACTTAGAACACAAACAATAGTGATACTCAGGAACAGTATATTTACCCAAAATAAAGTACACATAGTCATAACAAAATTAAAAATTACATGATTTTAACAATGAGGACAATTGAGAGATAAAAAAAATCACACTATAACAATGACACTGGATGCTTTTTTTTAAGATTTTATTTATTTATTTATTTATTTATTTTAGAGAGAGAGAGCAGAGGGAAGAACAGAGGGGGAGGGAGAGGGAGGGGGAAAGAATCCCAGGCAGACTCCTCACTGAGTGTAGAGCCCTATGCAGGGCTTGATCTCATGACCCTGAGATCATGACCTGAGCTGAAACCAAGAGTCGGATGCTCAACTGACTGAGCCACCCAAGTGCCCTACACTGGATACTTTTAAATGGCAGAGTTTTGAATGCTTTTTCCCCCTTCTCTGTACTTTTTTGTTCTCCCCAGATTTTTTGAAAACATATCTATTCCTTGTACACAAGCAAAAGAAATAAAATTTACATTAAAAAATCCAAAAGGAAATTCTTACAAGTCTTCTAAAGA